AAGAACAAACCTTTAGGTGGCTCAGTGGTTAAGACCCGCATTCTCGACGTGGAGGTCCCACGTTCGATTCCGCGCGTCGGAGTCTTTTATTTCTTGCGTTTTCATTTATATATAAATACGTATACATATATGGTGCATGACATCGACGTCGACGCCCAAGCCCATGCAGACGCCGGCGGCGAAATCCAGCCGAGAGTGTCCATGTAATTGCTATCGCAATAAAACGCCATGGGTGATTGCAGCATGCACTGGCGTTCCACCAGTGCGGCACCCGTGCAGTTATTGTCCTCAAGATCTTGGAACGGCCACGAGGAGGTCGTGGGAATGTCACCTTCTCCCATGCGACGTCAGAGCGGGGACTACGCTCTCGCGCTTGCGGCAGCAGCCGCTGCTCCTGTACCCGGATCGCCTCTATCAAGCGGGAAATTTGCCGAACAAACAGCCTCGCCATGCTAAACTAACGCCTGCGGCGATTGTTTTCGAGTACAATTTAGTTGCAGCCCACTCGACAGGGCCACGTCATCTCCCAGATCATAGAGTTTCATACAATAACGCCTAGAGAGGAATCGTGTACCCCCCATGGGAATCATGGGAAGTACAAGCTTCGGATTGGACAGCGTTAGCTAGTGAACTGTCTGCACATCTTTTTCTACAGTTTCAGTTTCGTTCTTCGTGCAGCGCTGGTAGGGGGGTGTGGTGAAAAGGGCCAGAACAGCGTCTTTGATGTTCAAAAAGGCTGAAGACCACTACATCTCTTGAGTTGTTGTGACGTTGGAGCTTTACGAGTCGTATTTGACCATTTAAACGAAGTGTCGTCCACTCACCGCTGCGCATAGGTGTAGCATCTCATGCCTGTGCGGCATATTGCATCGAGTTCATGTTTTTTTTTTTTTCGCAAGCGCATCTTGCCTAAACTCGTTCGAATCAACTGCAATACGACGGCGAAGCTGAACGGACCCACCGTGATGCTTCTCCGTCTCGACTTCAAAACAAAACGAGGCTTAGCGTTTGGAGCAGATGACTTGGACAAACGCACCTGGCATCGCGGCAGAAGAAACGTTAATTGTTTTTCACTTGATACCGTACTGTATTTTTTATAAATAGATAAGGCGTACTTTGGAGTTAAAAACAAGTATGTTCGTTGTCAAGTGCTGGAAACATATTCTACTATATCTTTATGCCAAATCTGAAACGCGATGCAAGAGCGATGCACAAACTGATGGTTAAATTTCTCCAGGTTTCTAATCTACCTCATCATTACGGAAACATTTTGCGATAATGTTTACGTACAAAAAAATGAAGCAAGTATCAATTGAATATAATTTCGTATCACTTTGTTTTATACTAGGCAAACAAGCGTTACGAATATCAAGAACGCGATCCACTCGAAGCAGATCCGAATCGTGTACTTCTCATCATTCCCATGCGGGTACACGCGCCGCTGAGTGAGCCCGCGTAGACACTAGCGCCAGATTCCCTTCTAGGTATTATTGAATGAAACTCCCAGATGGCCGACGTACGCGTGTTTTCGGTATTTCAGTAAGCGTACCTTTCTCCAGCATCTACAAGTATAGACATAGCATCCGAAACGTCGCAGTGTCTCATCGAGGGCGAGGTGCCATGGTGTACGATCCACGCGAGCCACGTTGTTAATACGCGGTCGAGCCCGTCAACGGAGATCGCATCGCGATCGGGACCTGGTCCTGCAAACAAGTGAACTTGCGAAACCGCCACTCAACGTCTCCGTGGCGACCGAGTTCACGATGAATAGTTATTATTTTTCAGTTTCTCTGTACACAGTGTATTACAATATAATCTGTGGCGGCGCAGTGCGACGCCGCTTCTGCGCCTGCGCGCAGCGTCGACGCTACTCAACCGAGCGCCGAATGATAAGAACGCTCTCGCCCACCAGAAGACACAAAGACTGCGTGTGCTGCCACGATCAATCAGTTGTTGCTGTTACGTCTTTCCGTGTGGACGCATTAAAGTTGTGCGTACCCACAAATATATACTTTTTTTCGCCGCAGTGAGTGCTATGCAATGGTGAAGTATGTGCTGCTTTGTGCCTCAGCCCCCCCCCCCCCCCTCAATCCCCGTGAAAAGTGCGTTATCTTTCACTACTATTCTAAGAGGATGGCCAGGCGTGCCCGTACTCTCTAGAATATTTTTTTTTTCTGCAATGCATCGAAGTAAATGTACCGAAATATGTAATAAACTTGACTTGACTTGAAGTGACACTGAACATGAGGAAATGAGTCACAATCGCCGTCTCATTCTGCCTCTCTGGAATTTGCAAAAAACACGTGAGATAATTGCTGCAGGTAAGCTACCTGTTTAAATTACTACTTCGGCAGTTAATCGATCGTTTTTAACGTTTACTAGAAATGCCAAGTAGCATCAAATAACCAAATTCGAGATATTCGTGCTCAAATTGCAGTCATGGGCGTCGGTAGGGTTTTCGTTGTATCGCAGTAAGCGGGGGCTGGAGAGGCAGTTGTTTGTGTGGCCGGCGGAGGGGGAAAGCGTCGCCTTTTTGCGCACCCTGATCATTGCTAATGACTGCGTAGGTCCCAGTAATGTTGGTTCAGTAGTGAGAACGATATTACGAAGCAACTCGCACTAATACCGCACAGGACCATCGCATGGGTATCAGAATATAACGTAGTTATCGCTGATTATGTGATATATGTCGCGCACGGGGCCCCAGATGTTAACGTGGCAAAGGCAAGCTTTGTCGAGTTTCTGTTCACGCACGTGGCATGAGAAAAGCTAAAAAAAAAAGCTCCGCTTTTTAAAAAAGTGTCTGCACTGCCTCAGCTGAAAACGGAAAGCCTTTAGAGAATGCACTAAACAGTGGCAGCAGCTTTCGCCCATGCATTTGTGATAAGCAGTCCGCTATGCACGCTTGGCTTCACGAGTAAGCTACGTGTGTACACCAACCGATAAAGCCGTACCCCCGTATTCACAAACGCTCCTCAACTCGACTTTCACCCTTCACTTGACAGAGTTGAGCACTGCGCCACTGCTCGGCTGAAAATCACGCTGCGCTACTCAAGAATTGCAGCAGACTATCGCAGATATGCAGTAACTTGCCGTGCCTATAGAGGGCGCTTCCGTCGGATTTCTCAAGTGAAGGTGAAGCGTTGAGTGAAGGGACGTTCTAGAATACGGGCGTTAGTCTCAACATACCCAGCGCCGCTCAGCTGCGCTCACGGGGCACGCTCGAGGCAATTCGGAGGCCGCGTCGTCGGTATCCCTGTCTGGGCCTTCGCGGCAGGGTTTTGGGATGGCACTGCACCTGGTGTTAAGTCAGCTACGCTTACACTCTGTGTGCAATATATGGATAAAGCCCTGACGAGGCACTGAAACACGGTTGCAGGCTTACCGGAGCGGCACGTGCTGCGGTTACAGCAAAGTCAATGAGATGCTTAATTGGTGCACACGGTCGTTGAAGGTGTGGGGCGGTTTATCATACTGGGCTTGACTACCCACGACTTGTTCAGCTCCGGGTCCTTAGGATAATTGTTAAAGCAAACGTCCCTTTTTTTACGGGCGGACGAAGAACACCGAGGCACAGGGCAGTCACCATTGTGCAGCCCTCGCCGCAGAGACAAGTGGCCGCAATTCTAAGAAAGAAAACGCTGTGCTTCTCAAATGACCGTCAAAGGCAGAGACCCACGGTATAGCCACCACACACGAGATAACCGACTGAACTGTTCTTTGTTGAGTTTTACCGCGACGGTTCTTTCTTCCTATACACAGCGCTGGGCCAACGAGCGAGGCATGAGCGCGTGAATCTCCGCTCTGACGTCATACAGGAGCGATTCGCAGCGCGGTAATTGGTTGCACACCGTGTCAATAGGTTTTAAAGGAACCCTGAAGCGGTTTCCCTAAGTTTTGTCAGCGCTCAGGCTAGAAAATTATCAAACCGTTCGCATTCCATATTTACTTAGCGACACGCCGTGTATACCAAGGCCGCTACAGACAGTTATATCGTACCGCACTTCTCATCTCCTCAATTCATGAGACACGCTGGCACTACAGAGGCTGGTATGGCTGACGATAGTAGAGCTCTCATGAACGCACTCATCGATTTGGGTTTCGCCCCGTCTAGAGCTCCGAGATTGTACGGCGTACGCCGATTAGTGGAGCGCAATCTTGAAAGCCATCACACAGTGCACCCCAACTAGGCTAAACGTTACTAGAATAGTTATTAATGAAGCTCGCACGCCGTCTGGCAACAGAGGCCAAGATCGCGGAATGGTTGATAACTACTCCGACAGGTGCACGCCGCCGCCCTACCAGCCGATGTTCCGCGCATTCCACAGCCAATCAGATCGGCAGCCTCTGTGAGGTCGCGTAACCAGAGCATGCCGTTCTGTGAATACGTGGTTGAAAACGCGCGTTTGACTGAGTCGCAGCGACCTCCAGCAATTTGTAGTTTTCAAGCGTTGTAATAAATTGCACAGTGTACGCAGATAGTTCAAATCGATCTTCGACTTGGTCGGTCGGCCCAATGTGTTTGTAGAAAATCATTAGAACAATTTCAGGGCCCTTCCTTTAAAGTCCCTATAGTGCGGAAACTTCAAGGTGGCGTCGCCACACACATTTTATTTTTTACGCGTTTTCTCGCCCTCCAAGCGTCTTCTCGTAGCAGGAGTGGTGATTTTGAGATTGTGAAAAAGAGAGAGAACCCAACTGTATTTTTGGGCTGTGGAAAAGTAATTCGCTAATATGAAAAGAAAAATCGATTTTTTTTTCTTTAGTTTCCCTTTAATTGCGGTGTCCCCAAGCGTTTTTTTTCTTCAGCGTAGATAAGCCCAGCCAGTCTTCGTTAGGAGGAGTACAAAAACTGCGTAAATGAGCTGAGCTCGTCTCGTAGAAGTATACTTCAACGATTATGATGAAAGAGGTCAAGATCGAACATGGTAATTCCCTTTCAAGCAGAGACGCGACTCGTTGCTAAAACACGCAGTGAAGAGAGAAACAAGGACACTGCATGATGAAAAAGAAGTTTCGTCTTTAATCATAACTACAACAGGATCAACATTGTCAATATATCAGCACATTTTTTTTTTCAAGAGAAAAACGATAGTATTGCGGGTAGGGTAATCTCGATGAGCAGTTCCTTAGGTCGCCCGCTATTTTAAAAAAAAGGGAAAAAAACATCAGGCAAGATAACGAAAGCTTGAATATGTTCCCGGTATACGCGAAAGAAACCTGTGCACTCGTGACGCTTGAAAAGAAAGCGTTAATTTGGGACCGGCTCGGTTAGGTCGCTTAGTCCATTGACTTAGTCTTCAGGGAAAAGTTTGTCGCTCAAAACTTAGCGATGACTAAGCAGCAGTGCAAATGTGCTCGAAACGAAATAGGCTTGTCACCACTACGTATGATTTGCACAGGCACAGCACGAAGCTCATTTGCTTTCCACCGATATTGGCAGCGGAATACATTCTTCAGGAGACACTAAAAGAACTGTCGTCGGGAAGCCTTCGCCGCGAGACAGAGGAATGAAAGCGACGCTCGACCGTCATTGAAAGAGAAGAAAACGCCGAGTATTGCGGCAGTACAAAATCTTATATATATATATATGAAAAAGAAGAGTTGCGCAAGCAGCTGGTGACGCCTCAAATATGTCCCAATCTTGCACACCAGCCGTTCATGCTGTCAAAATGAGTATAGACGCACGCAGGTGAGCAGGACAATGCTCAGTTCCGCTCGCGAAGAAAGCAAAGAGAAAAAGATAAGTGGCAGCCATTGCACCACGCACACAAGTGGAAGAGACTCGTTATTTTTGTTTCCGAACCGCGAAATATCAAGGCTTTACGGCAACGGCTCCTAGCAAACTTGAAATGTTCTAATTAGGGTCAGCTTAAGGACGTTTGTGTGGGTGACTTCGTACATTGTGATGTCCGGATGATTCGACGCATCACAACTTTGTGCAAACGTTTTTTTTTTTTTGCAATACTTCAAAGTCTTACATTTTCTGAGAAAGACAACATGAATTGAATTTTTTTCGAGTAGAACCTCCGTGCACGCGTGTGAAACGGGTAAAATTGATTGATTCTTATGCGACCACTTTGAACACTGGTTCGAAATTCGACAGGCTATCGTCACCTATGAATAGCACAATTACGCGCATTTCTACAAGAGCATTTGTCCGTCGGACAGCAGTTGCTATTCCGTCGCCAAAGTAAGCTATAAGAACATCAATATTTTTTTTTTTCACGTGAGCCACTTCAAAAAAGTTTACCTTGGCGTGCATGCTTTTGGAAAACGGAACCAGGAAAACATAGGAAACACGTTCTAGAGAAACTTATTGTCAAACACGCTTTATAATATCATGAAATAAACTATTCACATGTCTCGGGCGATAATCTGTCTTTGGTTAATCTTGCTGACGTTTCTGGTGGCTGCCATCCCTCTGCGAGGACCACACGGCATACCACTTGTGAGAGAACAACTGCTGCCTTTGACACATACGCCGACATATACCGTATGTCGAGTCCTTGTTCACACCATGTGTGTCGTCAGAGATTTCGCACAGTTTTATGCTAACTAAAGCGGGGCACCTGTGGGAACACTCGCGACATTGACGCAGAACGACAATCTAGTCGTAATGCAAGTTTCTCGTTGGTGCACTTTTCAATGTAGACGCAGTTATTAAACAACGGAATAAAGCTCCGATGAAAACGCTTTGAGACGAGCCGCTAGAAGGATTGAGGCCCCGTTTACACGTAGGCCGGTCGTGCACTTGGGGAGTTGGGCAACTGTCACTTAAACAATAATCGATGGCGAAAGGATAAGCGACGCCACTTCGCGGAGAAATTACGCCGATTATTAATCCGTTTCTGCATTCTCCGTCGCTAAGAATTTTAGACACTTAATTTCATTAAAATTGGCACTGAATAGTACAGCACTCCAGCATTAATACCCAATTACATTAAAACAAAGAAGCCAGAAATTGGGACTGAGGCTTAAGCGACAACAGCGAAGAAATGCGCGCAAGGGATCAGTTGGCAGTGTATAAGTGAAACCAGATCGTTACTTCCAAACCTGTTTTTTTTTTTAATTTTCGGTGAGCCGCATGTGAAATCAGAGCAGCTGCGTCACTGTTATTACACACGCACAGTCCAGCGATGCAGACTGGAATCCGCACGACTTGTCGACTGCTGCGATACTGAGCCTTGTATAAGTGTTGCCAGTCACACGAACGTGCGGCATCTCTCTCGTGGAATGGCTCAGTAATGGCGCAGAAACCTTTTTACGTGACGATGCAAGCTGCTTTCTGACGCTAGCTCTCGCACTTTGTGCGTTGGGTGACTTTTGAGACGCCAACATCGAAGAAAATGTACGTCAATAATTTAGCAACTTCCAACCAAAAAATACAGCTGTTCGTCAAATGTGTTCTAAAGTCTTTATCACTGCTTCCCTTGCCATAATAAGAAAAAAAAAGAACGCTCACATAAAGTACTGTATACGTAGTTCGATCATCTGCGTATAAATATTGGGAGTTAAATTTCACAGCGAGAGTGACCCGGTCTGCATAGCTAATGCTGCGCTCGTAAGCTGCTAACTCATCACGAGTTTGCACCCACACTGTACAGAATTCAGCCGACACAAGAGAGATCGCCATATCGAATGCAGCCATTCAGGCTTGCGCTTTACCGAATTCAGAAAAGTGTATCGGTACAGTTACAAAAAAAAAAAAGCACAAATTCTCACAAAAGCGCGCCATGGTACGTTCCTACGAATATCACGCACTTGGCTAAGAACAACAGGCTTAATTCCGCGCTACAGTAATCCAATTAATGCTTCCTTCGTGTAGCCGTGGCGTTACTCCGCCGTTTCGTCACTTCACCGAGCACACGCAGGCTTCACAGGGTCCAACACGTCCCGCTTGAACGACAAGACTGGCGCAACGGTGGTGGAGTGGAGTTGGCCGCTGCCAACCTGCGGCCGTGCCTCCCCAAACACGCCAGTCCACACAAATGAGCACGCACCAGCACAAACGATGTGTCACTATACACCAACGCAGGGGTCGACGATGACAGTACATCAAGTGGGGGAAGAAGAGAACGCCGTGTGGGAGTGCTTCTGGTACAGCTTGATGCGTCCTCGTACCAGCCACAAAAGAAAAAAAAACATGAAACGAAAATCCAACTGACTGGCGCTGACGTACGTGAAAAAAAAAAAAAAAACGTGACTCTGCACGCCTGAAGATATCTCAGGTGCGCGAAAAAAATGCACCGCTATCACCACCATGCTGACGTTTAATTAAGTACACATGACTGAGTGCTGCACGAGCTTCTCTTGGAACACCGCGACACCACTTCGTACATCCTTGAAAGTAAGAAACTAAAAAAAAATATGTATTGCTAAGAGTCATGACGCCTAGAAATCCCGGCTATCTCCGTTGTCTTTCTAATATTGCGTGCCAAAGAAATTAAATAGATTTCCAGGTAGAAGTCAGCACACTTTAGCGGACGTGCTTTGTATACTACTTCGGGTAGGCTACGAGCCGTTTTACCTGATGCGTTCAGTGTTTTGTTTATTTGTTTATTTCTAGTAGGACAGGGAGAGGGGACGTTGCCCAACTTTCCTATTTTGTATGTCCCTGATTAGAATGAAACACATGAACAGCCATGACAAAACAAGCATAAAAGTACAGTCTCCCTAAACATAGCTATCAACTATACTTACTCACGCCAACACTGGGTTATAGCGTGTATTGCAAAACACTTATATGAAAAAAAAACCCGTCTCGGTAAAAGAAAAAAAGAAGTAAAGAAACTATACGAAAGATTGACCATTTTCACGCAATGGCACGTTTAACTTGCTATCAAAACAAGGACTGTCCACAAGATACCACAGCGGGAACACAAGTGGCGAGTACAGAGCCGTATAGTTCGAGATAACGCCCGCAAAAGAGAAGTGACAACACATCCCGTTCCTTCTCAAGCTAAAGCAGTTGCGTGGTCGGTCGAGGGGTTTAGATTGAGCACAAAAATACAGAGTGTAGTACCCGCCCCCATGCGCTTATCTTCCAAGAACTTCCGTGTTTGGTGCATGTCGCCGATGCATGGCGACATGCGTTCCCGCGACGAGTACACTTGTTGTTTCAATCACGGTCATCCTGTTTCACTAGTGCGGGATGACTTCACGCACTAAAATTATCAGCTACCGGAACTTAGTTTGTGTTTCGGTGCCCTCCTTGAGCCTTGCAAAGCGTGACCGACTTGTCCTCGGTAAACGGTGACGCGATGCGAAACAGTTCATCCCAATCGAAAGTTCAATTCGACACGGAGAACGGCATCAGAACTGCCTTCTCCCGAGACCGCAGTGAGGGACACGCCCGTAGACTGTCGTAGACATGTAGGCGGCGATGGAAACGAACGCTCGTCATTCCGAGCAGAAAACAACGTTCGTCTCGATCAAGAATATCTCGTCAACGAGGAGGGCCAGTGACCACGTAGACGCCCGACATGGTCCGTGTACTCAGCGGGAGTGGCTGCGCCTGCGCAGACGTCCATCGCAGCCTGAGCAGTCCATAAGCAGTATGCACAACACGTCGGTGTGAAACGAAGTCGGAAACACCAAGCTCCGCGCTTCGGTGATCTCAGGTGTTGAAGTCGGGCGAACAAGAGACGTTCGAGCTCCGGGACCTCGTCGAGGTTGCCGTCTAGCAGGGCTGCGGCCCAACCACGGCGGTCTATAAGCGGTCGTTCAGCAGGGTGGCCGCCAGAAGCAGCAGCACCAGATGCAGCGGCGCCGACGGGGACCAGGCGGCGCTGCACTTGAACCGGCAGCGGGTCTTGTAGACGTCGCCCAGCAGGTTACGTGCCACGCGCAGCAGCGAGGACACCAGCGTGTTCACTTCCTCCTTGCAGCCCGCGTTGTTGGAGGCCGCGTAGAGGCACCGCTCCAGCCGATCCAGCGAGCTGCGAAAAAGAGAAGACAGCGGAGTCTTTCTTCACTCTGTTCCACCAGCATCGCGTTGGGCAAAGTTAAATGGGAAGAACACTCTCGGTGAGGCCCGTCAGAAAGCAGGTAGGCCAATGGTGAATATGCAAGCAGTCATGCGTTTACACCTGTGAGTTCACTCCTGTAGCACACATTTCAGCGTCTATAGAGACAGCACCGTACTTTCCTCTTACGTTTAGCATACCAGGCGTTTCAACGAAGTCTTTTAAGTTACCAAAAGCTTGCAACGATATAGAGTTCTACAATGCATTACACCCATCATCGCAAGAGCAGTGCTTGCACAAAGAAAGATACGAAACGTGAATAACTGCATGAATTGCTGAGGGCCTTTTAGACGGTGCAGTCAACCATGTTTTTACATGGGACACGCAGAACAGATGCGCTCAGCAGTATAAAAATTTACACAGACTGGCTCACGTACGCATGGCATGCAAGCAGGAGCGAACGGTACTTAGCAAACACGCGTGCATAATAAGTTGGTGGAAATGGTGTGCAGTTAGTGGGGTGTACATCGATGAGTGAATAATAGAAAAGGCGACTGGCGTTCTACAGCCAAAATTATTGCGAATACGATTAGAATTATCCAGACGCGTACAATTTAAAACACCTTGGTTCATAAGGATCGACACTGATTTCTGAGACATTCGCAAATAAATTTTTATTCTTGACATGTATTACCGATATTCCTCCAACTTCTCTGTCGCCATGTTGAACCCAGCAGCGTCGTGTAGGCACTCAACGTTTTCGTAAGGCGCCACACTTTATTGTCTTCAGCTGCATATGTTCCTATGAAAGGCGAAGGCCTCTTGAACTATATACAAATGAGGAAGAGCGCATGTTTTATTTAAAGAACGCCGATCACATTTACGTTAGCTTCCCTCGGCGATGTTTGCTATGCTCACCCGCAGTCCTGCATGCTCAACACAACGCTCCTCGCTGACGGCGTCTTAACACCGACTGTCATCGCATTCTGCCGTTTGCGTACGACTTTGCTGCCTTCATGCGATCGCCTACTTCATATATAGTAATAGTATATTAAAAATACATTGATCCATGCCGTTTTTGATGCCAGAGTATTGTCACTAAACAAATAAGCAATTGATGCGTAGTGTAACCAATTTAGTGGCAATGACACAATCCCGCTTTGGAGGGTTGGCCAAGAATCAAGTAGCCCGCTGTAACCAACTAGAATATATCAATAAATTAAACACAAATCTTTGTATATGTACAGTCGCTCCCATCGTCTGGCAAAAGAGATGCGTCGAGTTTCATTTTATGCATTATTGCTCGCGCAGGCTTGCCGACTGCTTGTCGTTAAAAAAAAAAAAAAAAACACACGTATAATCTCGGTTGCTGGAAGAGTGACATCAATATGAACACACACAAGGCGGTAACAGCAAAATCAGTATTGCAACAGAACACAACAAGTAGTCGCTGAGCAACCCACAGCCAATCGCTATCGGCAAATGCAGGCGCTCAGCGCTTTCATTAGGGGGCGCACGGTATGACGTTTCGCAACACCGATTGCACATGCGTGGTGTCTCGCTGATACTTTCTCCGGGCCGTCATTTATCACCAGACTGCAATGCCAGCTGAGAGTTCGTGTGCAACAAAACACATGACCCTTTCCACGCACCGGCCGATCATTATGGTAGACGCACCGTGAACTTCGCAAACGCCCTGTCAGCGGGTGACAGGCAAACGATGTCTTTACATAACGCTGTGCCGATCAGCGCCACCAGCTAGCCGCCGCCACCAGTAAGGAAACCAAGTTCCAGAAAAAAAAGAACTTCAGGCATGTTCGTCAACATATCTGGTGCGAAATATCTCCCCTGAAATTCCTGGAGCGGAGTATTGCTAAAAAAAACCAGCGTAAGTACCTTAAGCCCTTTACAATTTAAGTTATATTTCAGCGCCCATTCCGAAAGTCTGGCGGTATCCTAGCGCATAGCAATGCTGTTCGCAGTTAGAACGCGAATCGACGCAGTCGTTAGAGGGGAACACGAACATGTACATGACATCAGGTCCAACCACGGGATGCCAGCTTTAAAAAAAAAATAAAGAAACCCACGGGAGTATGTTAAACACAAGGTAATAGCCTATCTGCAGATGTATTATGCGCAATTTGACAAAGTTTACTGCGTGTTTGGGGAATTTTTTTTTCAAGTTTCATGTTTTTCTTGTTCCCAAATCATTATATACTATCGTCATAGTCATAATTTCCACGACGTACTACTGAACGGGAGAAACTCATCGTCAGTGAACTGAAAGACAACAGGCAATCGCTGCCCAGACGGGTTGCCACAAGTGCACCACGTATATCACATATGTATATTTAATTATTTCGTTAAAGCTAGAGGTAAAAATCAGTAACGACACGAGCAGCGATACTCAGAGTGCCCCGAACGCGGATCAAACACCGTATCTTTACCTATTCCCCGCATATTGGAAGCCGCAGAGATGAAAACGACACAAATCTTTCTCGCACGTTGCATGTATAAGGTGCAGCTGCAGCACGGAGGCCGGCACGTGGCTGCTCAGAGACGACTTTGCGAATGATTTGTTAACACCGGGCTTGTGCGCCATTTCCGGCGATAAATTGCACCTCCGCATAGCCGGAGACATATGGCGAATTCTATTGAGAAAGCAGAAGCACTCAAAAGCACGCTGAAAGAGCTCTCTTCAGAGCCGGCGTGTCTCAGTGGTCGAGTGGGAAGAGCTCTGTCATCCTGTAATAGAGCCAGAACGCTTTTGCAGAGCCGACAGCAGCCAGGAGCAGTTTGTATAGCGTTTTCGCCTGACATAAAAAAAGTTTTTGGTTTGCGGCCATGGCTTGAATTAGCATGACACATATTCTCTGCAGGCGCAATGACCTTGCGTGATGTTCCTGCTGCCATATATGCTGGTGAGGAAAAAAAACGTATGCAAAGCATTTTCATTCAGCTCAAGGCTCAAATAACAAACAAAACCATAGCCCGATCGAGTGCGCCATTTCGTATCCCATCACGCACAGTCAGAGTGGCGTGTCAAAATTGTGTTTCGACTCTCGGTGGCTAAAGTTCGCAGCGGTGAAAAGCGCCCGCACAATACCACGAAGACAATGAATGACTTTTCGAGATGTGTAAATGCCGTATCAGCCGCATAAATATCGACTCGCGCACATTGCTTCCGTTTCGACACTCCGTCTTCCCCACACATTCCTTAAATATGGCCTCGTCAGATGTATACAGTTACACGTCACGTGCGTCGAAGCGGCAATGACAGAGAACGGTATAACGGCCAACGTGAGACAAATGAAGCCTCCATACTGCGCCAGAATACAGCCGACGGAAAAGCTGGCACAAGCGCACCGAAACGACCTATACAGCATGAGAACGAAGCCTCCTTTCGGAAATCGACTTATAATGTGAACTACGTGTCCGCCTTTCTTCGCCTTCTCCGCATTGTCTGTTCCTGCGATCCACATTCTCCACTCGTTTCATCCGCCTCATTTTCTTGCGGCAGCAATACAGACTCCTCTAAATCGAGTCTCTCTCGATAGCACTCCCACGTATAGTAAATTCGTAATTTATTTTTTGGCTCTCCCTCCTTAGCCGGCATCTCGCCGCTGTATATAGCGACGCTTGGCCTCGGGGATCCACGGTGCTCGAGATAGAATGAAAGAGGCGAGAAGACTTCGTAGGTCTCCCGAGTCGTTAGCCCTTTAATGGATTTCCAATTTGTTCTCTTTCCAATGGCCATTTCACCTCCTTCTCCCTCGCTGCTGCTCCTTAAAGTATATACGCACCGTCTCTGTCTCCTTGACGCAGACCGCGGTATTTATTTTTGTTTAGGCGATACGAGATGCCACTTCAACGAACTGTTTTTTCCCCCCATTTCACCCAAAATTCCGACTTTCAGCTTTAGTTCGTCTAGTTTGTTTGTTTGTTTTCCTGGGATGATGGCTTACACCCACTCGGGGGGATTGGACAAGAAAGTGTAGTGCAGTTTTTCTGTGATCATTTTAACTATGTGTAATGAATTTGTATTATAATATGACTAATGTGAGGAAAACCACATAAAAAAGCGAGCAAACGAGAGTCTGCTTCTTTCTCTTCGATCGCTCAGCTTTGTCGCTTTTATCGCTACTTTCCAGACATTGTACTTGAAAATATTTTTTGATGTGCCGTATCACCAGTGTTTTGGAATTGTCGTTTGGCACTGCGTCCTGTGCATTTGAACTTTGCAAACACGGCCAGTGAACGCATAAAAATCATGGAGGCGGAAATGTTGTAGGCCCGAGTGCTCAGATTTGGGCGCACGTTAAAGAACCCCAGGTGGTCGAAATTTCCGGAGCCCTCCACTACGGCGTCTCTCATAATCATATGGTGGTTTTGGGACGTTAAACCCAAGAAATCAATCAATCAACGCATAAAAATCACTCTTAAACACTTGCACGATTGAAGAATGCCGTTATTTCTTTACATATTAGCGATGTACTCGCCTTAACGCTATGATCTTGGACGCATTTCGATAGCCACATATTGTTCGTTTCTGGTTCAGAGGAGTTCGCCTAGAAAGCCTGTACCTTTCCTGTCGATCCATACTTTTTTTTTTTTTGCCTTTCGACCACTCTCGTATTTTATTTTCACCCGGAACCTCTTTTCCGTGGTCCCAGAACAAGATTTCGCAGGATGGAGCATGTCTTTTGCACGAGGCTTTCCGCACGCGCTGTGAGCGAAATTCTGGCAATTTCTCTCCGGGGCCCGCCTGCTCGCTATTCTCATTTTGTGCTCAAGCCGCCTTCGCTTGGACTCTTCGTCTGTGGCTGATTACAACGCTACCCATTTTTAATCACGTTATAATGTATGTATGTATGTATGTATGTATGTATGTATGTATGTATGTATGTATGTATGTATGTATGTATGTATGTATGTATGTATGTATGTATGTATGTATGTATGTATGTATGTAT